ATTTAAAAATCATTTAATATAATCTAATATAAACTAACTAACTAATTTATAACACAACAAAAAAATTTAATATAATAACTTATAATATAATAAACTAACAAACTAAACTTTTTAAAATATAAGTTAAACGTAAACGCTAAATCCTTAAACAACTAATAAAATATTCTTTTATATAATTAAAACTAATAAACTATTTTTTTATTATAATATACTACTAATAAATAAACTTACTAACTAATTTTTTATATAATATAAATTCAACAAACAAATATAACTTAACTATTTAACTAACACAAACTAATTAAATAATTTTTTTATATAACTAACGACTAACAAAATAAACTAATTAATTATTTTTTTAACTATAACTATCAAACATACTAATTAAATTATTTTTTATTTATGTATAATATATAATTTAAACTAACAATCATATAATTTTTTATAAATAATTACAATAATACCCCTTTATATATTATTTTTTTCAATTAAGTCATTGTTTTTATTGAATAAAAATAATATTTTTTTAATTATTTCAGGTTGAGTCAGATCGGGTTTTTAAGTTATATATCGGGTCGGGTGAAATCTTGTTTTGGTCGGGTCAAGTCAAATCTCGGGTGGAGGATTTCTTATTCTCGGGTCGAGTCGTGTGGACCAAAAACTCGACCCAACCCGACCCATATCCATCCCTAATTGTAAGAGATCTAACTCATGTTTAATCGTGACATAGAGATATCTATAGTGTCTTTTAGTACTTGTTTCCAACGTAAAATCATTATAACTATTTAATGATTAGATCTTGAATTTCAATCTTGATAGATTATGTGTGTCTATTAAAAGATCATGTGGATCTATAATGAGTATTGTTAGGTATTGTTGACTAGAATCCTATGTTTAAGGGGCATACGTGAAAAAAAATCTCTTGAAGATTTTAATTTGTGGAAAACTGACAATTTTAACCGTAAGTTTAGAAGTTTTCGAAATCTCTATTAAGAGATATAACAAATTCGAATAAATATAATATATTGATGTGTTTAGGGTTTTATTATCTACGTAACTAAAGAAATATTGATATTCGATGTTATAATAGAGATTGGTCGAGAAGTATTAAAGTGTTATCACATTTTAAAATTTATAGATTTATAGATTTTTAAATTTTTATTGATTTTTATTATTTATTTAATTTTCCACTTCTTAAATTAAATATATCTCATATAATTAACAAATTCAACCCGGTGCGTGTGATCTGTAGTTGGATAAGGAAGTCAAGTAGTTGTGTCGGAGCCAACAAAAAGAACCAATGGGCATTCAAAGGAATAATGAGTTATGAGTAATAAAATCCAAATACCAGATGTGACTATTCCCTAGATTTCACATCTAACATCTTAGGCTTAGTCAACTCAACCCAGTAACGCGCCGTTATATAGGACTATACACTATAGTTCAATATCATGACATTTATATAATAAAACTTCTTAATTTAGAAAATTTTACACATTGAAATATAAATTGAGAAAATAATTTCAGTGATTAAAAATGCCTTTTAATATACGATTTTAGTTAAAAAAAAATTTGGATTTGTCAAAATGACCAACTAAATCGCAATGCGATCGATAATTCGCAACGCGATCTCCGGTATCGCAAATCAGTTTCCAGATTCGCAACGTGAACATCGACTATCGCGCGACAGCCACGACCCGAGACGAGACGGACGGCGGCGACGCGCGATAGTCCCCCTTGTTCTCTATCATTCAACAAGAAAGTGGGAAAGCCAAGCCTTAAATATCATTCCCAATAGTGTTTCCAATACTATGTGGGATTGAGCATTACCAACACTTGTTTCCAATACTATGTGATTATTCAGGAAACAATTAACAATCATGCACCTTAAAACAACTGAATCAGCAACCAATTGCATTAGTATTATACGATTAAATATGTCATAATTAAAAGTCAATCTATAATTATCGATTATTGCAATTTTAAGCAAAACATTCAAAAAAAATTGCATCACTCGCGAGAATAAAAAAAATTGTTATCGTGCAATTACAATCAATTTAAAATAAATTAGAATTGCATGAAAACTAAACGAACCACAAATACTTTTCATACAAATACTAAAGTCATTAACTATAATTCACAAATAATATCACTATTTAAGGCTCAATCCCACATAGTATTGGGAACAAGTGTTGGCAATGCTCAATCCCACATAATATTGGAAACACTATTGGGAATGATATTTAAGGCTTAGCTTTCCCACTTCCTTGTTGAGTAATTGAGAACAAGGGGGACTCTCGCGCGCAGCCGCTGCCGCCGTCCGTCTCGTCTCGTGGTCGTGGTCGTGGTCGTGGTAATACGTGTCTTCGACACGTCCGCGCGAATACTATTTTTTTAGAGAAAATTCTTAAGAACAAAAGCAATACCACCAGTCGTTGCGATTTTGGACTATCGCAACGCGAATTTGGAAAATCGCATTGCGATAGTCGATGTTCGCGTTGCGAATCTGGAAACTGATTTGCGATACCGGAGATCGCGTTGCGAATTATCGATCGCATTTCGATTTAGTTGGTTATTTTGGCAAATCTAAAAAAAGTTGGTTAAAATCATATATTATAAGGTATTTTTTGTCACTAAGGTTATTTTCTCAAATATAAATTGAGAAATAAATCAGAAAAAATTTAAATCTTGCATATTTGAGTATAACTCTTTAAAATAACTGATGAGTCTTCAAACTTAGATGGATACCCAACCGTTAGACATGTTGAATATCCATAAAATTAATTATTTAATATAAAGATGCAATGGTTTGCTGTAACTATAACTTATTGTAATATATTATTTTAGAGGTAAATTATGCATTTATTATTTAAATTATCAGTTTTGATTCGTTATAGTACTTAAGTTTTCATTTTTCTTTTCAAAACTTAAGTATGATTTAAGCACTAAACGTTTTTGGTACCTAGACTCTCATTTTTTTTAAAACTTAACGACGAGATATTAAAATGAAATAAAAATTAAACTTTAGGTATGGTTTCGAAAAATTGAAAGTTTAGGTATTGAAATAGATCAAAACTGACAGTTAAGATACTAAATCCGTAGTTTACCATTCTTTTAAAAGGAAGGGGTACTTACTAAAAAAACTTTCTTCTTAATTGGATTAAAACAAAACTTATTGTACTCCCTAATTAGAAGTGTGACTTAGAATTGGAGATATCTCTTTACAAAATTTTACTTTTAAAATAATAAAATTGATTTTTTTAAAAAAGAATGATAAATATTGATATTTTCGTATTATAAAACTTAAAAATTACAGACGGTAAGGTGATTTTTTTAATAATTTAAGATAATTATAAAGTAATATATGTTTATGATTTTTTTATCATCAACAATGCACACACAAATTACAATAGCTCGAAGTTAAAATCTCTAAAAACAATAGATTTTTGAAATCATATTTATCTATATAAGGATGAGCATGAGACTCAAATCCGACTGGTTCTGATTCTGATTCGATCAGGCTCAATCAATCAGATTTTTTTACAAAAAATTAGGTTCGGGTTCGAGTTTAGGGTGAAAAATAAACGACTTGACCAAAAAAACATATAATTTTATCTTATATTTAGGGATAATTGTAATAATGTTATTATATATATATTTTTTAATTAAATATATATTTTTATTGAATAAAAATAATATTTTTAATAAATATATTATTTTGGGATATTATTTTGGGGACGAATTAAATATATATTTTATTATTATTCAATGAGATTCCATCATGCATGACGACTCATGATTTGATATAAGCTAATAGTGCTTAAAGTGCTGTACAATCATTGATTTTGTAGCAAAATTACATTTTTCCACCACCATTATTGTATGTTCCACTTTCAAGTATTTTTTTACCCAGATTAAATCAACTTTATAAAATGAAATTTTACTTTTTCAATAAAATAATAATTTTTTTATTGTCCTTTGTTCCCATATGTAATAGGGAAAGGGGAGGTAAGATAGTAAACTTAACCCAACACCATATTGAGATCAGCTTCCGTAGAAGACCTCCGAATTATGAAATACCCTCCGTGAGACTCAATCTCACGACCTCAAAGTTAAGAACATTGTGCTCTACCAACTGAGATGGATAGTTATCTCCAATAAAATAATAATATATGAGATCTTATTATATCTACGATTCAAATCAAATAGAATATTATATATATACAAAATGTATGAATTATTATTTATGTATTACCAAAGAAAAATGTTTTTCACGAGTGAGATAAAAATGATAACAAGTATTTGATTTATTTAAATTTAAAATTCTGAAATAAATACAAATGGAACTTAAACAAATTTTAATAATGTTTTTGATTTTTTATTGATAACATACCCAAAAATTTTTCATTTTTTATAAAATTTTATGTGATAATTAATTGTATATAAAGTGAAAATAATTTATGTGGAACAAAGTAATAACAAAACTTCAAAAAATATAAATAATAAAAAAATAAGGGTCAATCCTTAATTATTATTAAGTCATCAATATAAATCAATATAGAAATTAAAATTTAGAGGGTCAATATCTATTTAACCTATTTTTAAAATTAGTAAAGATTTAATAAGTATTTAAACTAAAAAAAAATAAGGCTCTAATTTAATTTATCCACTTTCAAAATAAATAGGGATATAAAAAGTATTTAAAATTAAAAAAGTGGGTTAAGAACTAGTTTTTGTTAGTTTCAAAATTATGAGGGACCTCAGAAATAATTGGACCTAAAAGTTCAAGAGTAAAATTTAATTTTCCTAATTTCAAAAGTACAAGGGGTCTAAAGATAATTTTTCCAATAATTTCTTTTTTTATCCAAACCTATATCGACCTTATCAACATTCATCAACCATGCATCTCACGTTGAAACCCTATTTCGTTCTCGATTTAAAGACAATGAAACAATTCCCGTACAGCTCCCCCCCCCCTAATGAACTCAACTCAACAACAATGGTGCTCATCTGTAGGGAGACTGACCATTTTGAAGCTTGATCAAAGAGTAATACGCCCCAGCCCGACCCATGCCCAGGAGACCAGAATGCGATCCTTGTTCCACCACCTTCCCGCTCTTGATCACAGCTATTGAATCTGCTTTCTGTATTGTGGACAACCGATGAGCCACGACGACGCATGTTATCCGAACCATCATCTTCTCCAATGCCTTCTGGACTAGACTCTCCGACTCGCTGTCGAGTGCACTGGTTGCCTCGTCTAGGAGAAGGATCATCGGGTTCTTTAATATGGCTCGAGCCAACGCTATCCTTTGCTTCTGCCCTCCCGATAGCTTAGCTCCTCTTTCACCACAATATGTCTCGTACCCATCTTTCATGGCACTACATCACATTAATACATGCTCGTAAATGACATACACCATATATCGCAGTTTGAGGTTAATATAGAGGCATAATGTCAAATTTCTAACCATACTTTTAATAAAACAATTATTTTGATCTCTACTTTTATTTTGGAAGTACTTTAATTTCAACATTTCATTTTGAAATAAAATATCCCCAAGATAGATAGAAATCATTAGTTAATTAATACTTAATACTAATCGCTGATATGATAAGTTCTATGTGTTAAAAGTGATGATGTATTACATATTATATGTCAAAAGTGATGATGTATTACATACTACATGTCAAAAGTGATGACATAACACATGTTATATGTCCAAAGCGATGATATAATGATGTCATATATTTGATGACGTGATATATATCACGGGTTCAAAGTGATGACATGTCACATGACAAATGTCTAAAGTGATGATATATCATGTACCATTAGGGATTGGCATGGGTCGGGTTTTTGGTCCACCCGACCCTACCCGAGAACAATGAGTCCTCCACCCGAATCCCGACCCAACCAAAACAAGTTTTCACCCGACTCGACCTTGACCCGATATATAACTTAAGAACCCGACTCGACCCGAAATAATAAAATAATTATTTTTATTCAATAAAAACATACTTAATTGAAAAAAATAATATATAAAAGGGCATTATTATAATTATCCCTAAATATATAATAAAAATATATATATTTTCGGGTCGGGTTTTTTTACCCTAAACCCGATCTAAACCCCAATTTTTTTTTTATAAAAAAAACGTATCCCGATCGGGTCGGGTCGAAACCTTTCGGGTTCGGTCCCATGCACATCCTATGTACCATGCGATATGTGTTATATTATCACTTTGGTCACACGACACATGTCACATTATCACTTTAAATACGTGAATGTGCTACATCATCATTTTGGGCACATGATGATGTCACGTCAATACTTTCAACACATAATTTATCACATTTAATGATATAACATTATTTTGTCTCAAAATAAAATGTTAAAAGTTAAAGTATTTTAAAAAAAAGAATAAATGTAAAAATAATTAGTGAGTCTAACGTTAACCAAATTATTTTTGGCATTATGTGTGATATAAATAGTTAATACCTTATAAATTCATGGGCATTGGCTAGCTTTGCAGCTTTACTTATTTCAGCTTCGCTAGCTTCCTCTTGACCATATGCAATGTTTTGCCGGATAGTACCTGCAAAAAGAGTGGGCTCTTGGCTCACCAATGCAATATGCGACCTCAAGTTCCTCAAGTCATAGCTCTTGATATCGTGTTCATCGATGAATACGGATCCACTTTGTGGGTCATAAAATCTTTCAATCAAACCAATAATGGTGGATTTCCCAGATCCACTTTGCCCCACGAGCGCCATTGTTTTGCCCGCTTCGATTTTGAGACTCAACCCTTTGAAGATCATCTGGTTAGGCCTTGAAGGATAAGAGAAAAACACATTCTTCAATTCAATCTGCCCCTTATTACTTTCATCAACTTCAATCCCTTTACCATGTTCTGGTTCAATCTCACTTCTCCGATCAAGAATCGCAAATATTCTCTTGATGGCACCGCCGCCTTTGGCCAAGTCCGATGTCATGCTTCCGGTATCGGCTATGTTTTTACCGGTGCTCATCAGTATGAAGAATGCTTGGAACAGATGCTTTGGGGTCACCAATCCTTGATTTATCAGCCTCCCACCGTACCAGAATGTTAGCGCAATGGAAGCTGTTGTAAGAAACTGTGAGCTAAATAGACCAAACCCAGAAATGTAGCCTTGTTTGACGCTTTGTTGTCGGGGACCTTTCATTGTTCCTATGAACAGATGTAATATCCTTTTCTGAGAGGAAAATGCTGTGATGGTTCTATGGTTAACAATGGCTTCACTTGCTAACTGGCTCCCTTCGTTTTGTGCCTTTTGAGCTTTTTTAGACATGCTTTTCATTAGAACAGTTCGGGAGTAGAAGCATCCGATGAGCAATGGCTGAAAGGCAATCATAACAATGGCGATCCTCCATGTTACGATCAATGAAAACAGAAAGGCCAAGGAAGCACTAAAGAAAACCTGAACCAGTAACGACATTCGGTCCGCAATGAATGAACGGAATGTGCCAGCTTCGGTCGATAACCGAGCACAAACGGCGGCACTAGAGTTTTCCTCTTGATCGAACCAGCCGACCTCGAAGGTGAGTACTTTGGTGAGTGTTTTTTCACGTACCCTTTTGACTAATCGTTCGCCCATGACTGCAAAATTGTAATGTTGCAGAAGATTTGCAAAGAAACTTGAAACCGCCAGCCCGAGGAAAATTAAGCTGTAGAGTCTGATTTCGGATTTGAGCTTGGAACTGTCTTTAATGAAGTAAACGGAGGCAACCGTTCCCATGGAATAGGCGTAGATTGGTTGAATTGCTCCACTGCTCATGGCACCTATGCACCCCAGTAATGTTCTCTTCCATTCTGGTGCATTCATTCGAAACAATCGCCATGCGGATGGTTGAGAGTGAGAAGAATCATTTTTGTTCATGTCGTTTTGGTTTTGGTTCGAATGCATATCGACCGAGCTTGCAACGGTGAAGGAATATACCGGGGTGAAAGGGTATGCTGAGCCAAGAGGATATGCAGGGCTGCTTTGGTAGCTTGATCTTATACTTACTGGTGTCCCTGGAGTCCCCGGTGTTCGGCTAGTGAAGTTGTTTCTACCTTCGGGTTGATTAAACGAACCATCGGATGCTTCATTTTGCATTGCTGTTTGCTGCAACTCGACCATTTTCTTATAGGCCCCTCCGACCCCATTGTTCATTTGGATAAGTTCGTCGTGCGAGCCGGATTCTATGACTCTTCCTGATTGGATAACTGCTATCAAGTCTGCATTACGGATTGTCGAAAGTCGATGTGCAACGATAATCGTAGTCCTTCCTTGTGAGGCATTATCCAAGGCTTCCTGCACTATCTTTTCAGATTGTGCATCCAATGCACTCGTTGCTTCGTCGAGAAGAAGGATCTTCGGATCTCGGATCAGTGCCCTTGCTATGGCGATCCTTTGCTTTTGCCCTCCTGATAACTGAAGCCCGAATTGTCCTACCTGATTTGCAATGGTAACACAATTAGCTCAGCAAAACATACAACATATGAACTTCTGAAGTCATATATATCAGTTACAGCATACTATGGCTTACTTGAGTTTCATATCCATCAGGCAACTTCACAATGAAATCATGCGCATTTGTGGCCTTCGCTGCCTTAACAACAAGCTCCATCGATGCTCCTTCTTTACCAAAGAGAATGTTCTCTTTTATGGACGTTGCAAAGAGAATTGGCTCTTGATTAACCAGTCCCATTTGGGATCTCAACCATTTAATCTGAAGTTTCTTTATATTGTGTCCATCCAGGAGAATATCTCCATTGATGGGGTCGTAAAATCTTTCGAGCAAGGAAATGGTTGTCGACTTGCCGGAACCACTACCTCCAACAAGGCCTACCGTCTTTCCTGCTTGAACTTTAAGATTAAATCGATGGAGAACAAGTGTTTCGGGCCTGGATGGATAACTAAAGTCTACATCCTTGAATTCTACATCTCCTCTCACATGTGATAGGAGTTTTTCCTTTCTGTTTTCGGAGTGTATATTCGGATTCCGATCGATCATCTCGAAAATCTTCGAGGCAGCATGCCTTGCCTCTAAGATGAATGACAGATTTGGAAGAGCACTCATAACAGCCCTGAAAATTAATGTTCAACATGAAACCAGAGACCAATGTTGTTGAAAAAGGAGAAAAAAGACAAGATTATAGAATGTAACTCACAATCCTCCCATGATGATACAGATCCCAGCGACGAAGACAGCACCGCCGCTTTCACCTTTTTCAGTCACGAGAACACCGCCAACCCAAGCTTGAAAAGCCCATGCTGCATAAATCATTCCCATGCTTCCGATCAGCAAGCCTTTAGTGAAACCCTGTTTCATCCCCAGCTCCATACTTTTCTGAAGAGCATTGCTAAACTTGTCTAGAGTTTGAGACTCAGCGACATAAGAATAAACTGTTCGGATCGAGGAAATAGCATGCTCTGCAATCCCACCTGCATTACCATAAGCAGCCTTCATCTCAGCCCCTACGTTCATCAGTGCCTTACCGAATCCGAGTCCCGGGATTATGAACATTAGCGCGAAGGGCAGAGCAGCCAACGCTAGTCGCCAGGAAAGCTTGAAGCAAACCACAAGGCTTAATATGAATGATGTGAGGTGAGCCAGGCAGTTTGGTATCTGAAATCAACCATCAATCATGAGACAAATATGTACTTTTTCGAGAGCTGAGAAGGCAATCGGCAAACCTTGTCGGCGATGGTGTCTTGGATGGAATGCACATCGGAAGTGACGGTAGAGATGACCTGGAACGTCGAGGAAGAGGCTGTTTGATCATCGAAGAAACCGACTTCTTGCCTGAGAACCGATTTTAGATATTCGGTCCTCATGCGAGATGCCTGCCGTTCTGCACTTCTCGTCCAACAAACTCCCTCTGGCATATGAACATATAAGCAGTTAAAACGAAACTTTTCCCATACCAAAATGGAAATTACATTTGCACATACCAATGAAAGCAGATATTCCCACTCCGATTGCAGAATAAAGCAGCCTAAGTGCATACTGTAAAATCAAACACAGGCAGCTTGTTAACAACGTATCAAGCAAGTTAAGATCTTAATAGTACTACGTTAGCCATGGTACCTTGTCGACTACTTCATTGGAGAAAGATTGATCAGCTGACCCGTAATCGTTTAACGCGCCGCTAAGTATGTACATGTTAACAGGGGACATCATCCCGTCTCCGATGCTACCCAAAGTTCCGAAAAGCAAGAGCAGTTTGTCTATCCCATCGGCATAGCGGAACAGCCCACCACCTCCACCTTTGTTCGCCATAGCAGTGACTTCAATGTCGTTCCCTTGATGCTTGATCTTTGTGATAAGTAAAACTTATAGCTATAGAAATGTGTCTGGTTTCGGGTGAAAGGACACTTGGATTCGGGGCTTATGCGTTTTGAATTAAGTCGGCACTTGTTTTAAAGATTTGTTGGTTTCAACAATTCCAGACAAGAAAGTGTCCGTAATAGTTAATTATAACTCATGAGTAGGCTTATTAACCTATTACTAACAGGAAATCTTAGCTCAAGGTAGAGAATTCCTTGTTAATGACACCTGCTTGTCTCCTTTACCCTCTAGATTCCTTCTTTTGTTTCTCTCGTAATTGTACGCTTTCACGATGCTGCCTAATTTGTCAATATGTGTCAGAGACATTATCAAAGAAGAAGATACCCTTATGAAAAAGACGGAGTAATTCCTGTTTGATGCTTATGCAATTTATCTTTTGGTAGTTTGGGGCAACTCCTGCGTCATATGAACACCAAGTCTTCTGCATGATAAATATATATAGAGACGTGGACATGATGTTGGATTTTCTTAAGGAAAAGTATCCACACAAAACAAATTTATGCATATGCTGTGATACTTGCATGACACTGTGTTGGCAACGCGCAGTTGCCGGCAATACAGTTCCGCAGCCCGGCTTGTCACGGCCTGCTGCCGCATATCAACAACTTGTGACAACCATTACTCCCTGTCACGCTCACCTAAAATGAATATCAATAAAAGGTCTTTTTTCTTAAACTATTCCATGGAATGCTAGTGGGCTTATAATGTGACAACCATTACTCCCTGTCACGCTCACCTAAAATTTTTCTACTTTGTTAATAAGAAAATTCTGAACAAATCTTAGATTAATCCCTAATGTTTCTACAAATGATTTCTTTGAGTATTTTAGTCTCCAACATTTTAATTTGTAGTTAAAATAATCTTTGTTGAATGAAAATCATTAATCGACTAAGATTAACACATGTTGTTGACGTGACATTTCACATTTGTTTAATTAGTACATGGCACATGTTAAATAATCACTTTAGTGACAAGACACATGCTACATTATCATTTCGAGTGACATAATATATATTACGTCAACAATGAAATACATGTGAAAATGATACGTCAACAACATACATTGATCATTAGTCAACTAACCGTTTTCATTCAACAAAAGTTATTTTGACAAAAAGTGAAAATATTAGAGGCTAAAATATTACAAGATAAGGTCCCAATTTATTATTTGTACAGATATTAAGGGTTAATTTTGTTGTTATGCCCTCCCTTCAAAAAAAAAAATTCCCAATGCAAGTTGCCATTACTATAATTGAAGGATCAAAAAGGAAAAATTTATGGTTGGAGGGACTCTTTTTGGAGGTGGACTGGGAAGGTTCCGCCAATAAAAGGTTTAATACTTGCTGACTGTGTTGCTCTAACTCTTCGCTTTTATTGAAATACTCATGTCCAACCAAGGGTTCTCCAAATGCATGAAAAAACTTGCACACGAAATCGAACATAACTGATTCTGAGTAACATAGCTTGCTGATATTGCTAATGTGCACCACTTTCTGCTTCTGCCTCTAACTTGATTTGTCAGTCCTTACCTAAAACTAGTCAGCCTTTCCTTTGCCCACCTCTTCTTTTCCATTTTGACACAAGCGGTATTTGAATCTTTAGGCATGGCAGATTCTACAAAGCAAACATTACTTATTTGATATAGGGTATGTTATATCTATCATATGCTTAGCGATACTCTCAAGTCTATCATTAAAAGTATGTGTGCTGAAGAGAACAAAAATATTTGGGTTTTATCTTATCTAAAAACACATTTATATTAGCATTATCATATCAATGCTGTTGTCAAGGTATTGAAAACACTTTCTGATATAACAATCATATTATTTACTTGACAATTGGTATTACCATCGACTCCTTTGCCATAATAATTTTGTTCATTGTGAATGACTGATGGGTTACTACCATGTTTAGACTGAGCATACCTTGCTGGCGCAGAATCTGCTAAGAACTTGCTTGTTCGATTTTTGTTTAATCAATTCATACCAACTGTTAAAGCATACTGATGTAAGTTAACTTTTAAGCTTTCCTTTCAAGGCTAATTTTAAGCTTCCTTTTCGATCTCAAGCCATTTACCTCTTTTTCCCATCGTGGTGCCTGCACAAGCATTGGATTTTGTTATGTCTGCATTGCAACTAACTGACCCTATGGTGAGAAGTGGGATTAATAAGGATATTTACTCAAGTGGACATGGTATTATGCCAGTGACGAGTGCATGGACCGAGCATACCATGCTGGTGTAGAAACTGCTAAGTACATGCTAGTTTGATTTTTGTTTAGGCAGTTCATACCAATAGTCGACTGTCAAAGCAGACTGCCATAAGTTGTTTGTGTGATTCTCACGCTCTACATGTATTTTGACCATTGCAAGGTGGATGTGCTTCAGTCATTGAGCTCTATTTGTATGTTACATCATTGAGAAGCCTTGTATATGAATGGTTCGATCCTTAGCTATCCTTCCTACAGGACATATTTATTTTTTTCTAACAGTTTCCGGATCAACTGGCACAGATAAAAAGGTTGGTGGTAACTAATAAGCTTTTGAATGTATGTCCTTTCTGATGAAAATAAAAGATGTATTATACAGATTTCATGCATAATGTCAGTTTTCTTCTGCCCTTAATTGCCGTCCAAATATTAGATATGAGTATCTGTGTAACGTGTACAAATTTCAGACTTTGGGAGAAAAGATATTGCAGTTTTTTAGCATTTGTTTTCTCCAGGACTTGCAGGAAATCATTTTATCTGCTATGAACAGGTTAAATCATGGCTTAGTATGTCAGTTGTGCGAATATTCCTAACCAGGGAAAAATTTTAAATTTTAAAGGGAAATGAAATTATAAAATTTTAGAGTAAACAACAAGATTGATCACTTTCTTTAAGTATACTTTTTCTCATTAAATTAAAAAATATAATATTTGGTCGTTTTTATTTTTATTTAAATAAGATGTGATCACTTAAAATTCTATCCTTATATTTTTTACGGATTATTAACGTGTTATATTGTTAAAAGAGTAAATTACACAAATGGTCACTGATAGTCATTAATATTAAAAAATTAGAGGAATTAACATACCAAAAATGAAATGAGATGCAAATCTTTTCATCTTCAACCTGTTAAGTTCATGTTTAAGCATGTGAAAATCAGCATTTTTATGCTTAAATTTCTCTCTTTTTTATTCCTTGCTCCCAGATTTTGGATCAGTGTTTCTGAGAGATGAATTCAACAATCAATTCTACTGCTGACCGAAAAGTTGGAGATGCAACAGCTGCTGCTGATCAGTTCCCTGCTGGTTTACGTGTTCTATTTGTTGATGATGATTCGACTTGTCTTATATATGATATTGGAACGGATGCTAAGAACTTATCTTTACGAATGCATTTCTTCTATTCTTTTTTGTCTTCAAATCTTCCGTTTTAATTACTATTTTTTTCACGTCATGATTTGTATTTTTGGTTTCGAGTTGTGAATTGGGGTTTCCTTGTTCTTGCATTTTGTTGAATTTATTTGTGGGTCCATAGTGAAAAATCAAAAGAAGATGACCAAATCATGTTGTTACATGGTGCTTGCGATTACCAAATCAAACTGGTTCGTATCGATCGCTGAAGAACATGTGGTTCGAAAGAGGAAGAACGAGTGGAAGGACTTTGGGCAATGGAGAAGAGTAGAAGGAGATCTGCAACTAAAACAGTCCGATGATGCGGAGTACTCATCCTCTGCTAGTGAAGGTAATTGGAAAAGCTCGAAACGGAGGAAGGATGATGAAGATGAAACCGACGAGGGGTGATACATCGACGCTAAAAACTAGACGAGAAGGACGATGAAGATGAAAACAAAAATTTATTCAAATATTATTGATAATTTGTTTAATTTATACTTTTTAATTTTATATATTCAGTGTTTATATATCCTTTAAAATGACAATTACCTATTAATGATCACATCTTTATTAAATAAAAATTAAAGTGATCAAATATTATGTTTTTTAAATTTAGTGAAAAACGTATATAAAAGTTACGAAAGTGACCAATCTTATAATTTATCTAAAATTTTAAGGGTGAAAATATATTTTCAATAGAAAATAAAAAAAAATAAAAAATATATAAGAATTTAAAATTTGATCGCTTCCTCTCGGTCTATCGTGCTCTTTATCGTGCTCTTAACTAAGAATTGTTTGAGAATACATGTTATGTTATTATAAGGGTGACGTAGGACATATGGAAAAACATGTGTTCACCATTATGCAATCTTTAACTAAGCATATTTGTCATGTGGAGAAGGATTCATCCACGAGCCATAGCCGTCATAACTATTGTTTGTTTTGTGTTCGGACCCAAAATTAAAGTATATACAAACTGAATCAAGGACGAAAGTCCATAATTAATATCGAAAACAGAGATAAATACATGCATCTTTGTCCCCAAGATTTGTGTAGGTGTTTTTCTCAGAACATGTACGAACATGATCCTTAGATTAATACTAACAAATCTGATTCATGAGTGTCGGAAACAAAATCTACTTCCTCCGCAACAATAAGATCTAAAATGTCTGGTTTTGTTTACACATGATCTTCCTGCCGCATGCATTCCTTGATAGTTTAACGGCGTAGGTTTAGGGAACCACAACCCTAGAGGCTGCAAGCTCTTTTTTTTTCTTTCTCTTTTTCTAAACGTGGATTGCCGATGATGATCGAGCTGGATATATCCAGGCATTGAATATGGAAAGTTGTGGAAAGAATAATCCAGGGTGTTCTCATTAGGTTATGGAAGGTGGTTGCATGTGCATTTAAGTACACTTGGCCCTTCCCCATTCCCTTGGAAACCTTCCATGAAACTCTCAACTTTGTGCTGCCATTATATATATTATTTGAGGTTATCCTTATTGCCCCCATCACCATCAAAGAAGCTGAGAGATTTCGGGATATCATGTCAGAGTCCAATGGTTCATCAGTAAAGCGCCATTTGAGGTGCAGATCGAGGAGGTCCGGTTACCGAAGGGGTTCGAATTCGAGCCCTTTCCGAAGGAAGGTAAAGAGGTTGAAGAAGCTGATTCGGAAAAAGGAAGCCGTGGGTTTGGATGATCTTTTCAGGGAGACGACTGAGTATATACTGTGCTTGCAAATGAGGGTCAAGATTATGCAAGTTTTGTTGAAAGTTTTGACAGGTTATAATGAGCGATTCATTTGTAAAGGATGGATGATATTCATATTCCTTCCTTTGAGTTTGTTTTATTATAAATCTTAGGATTCAATTGTAGAAGCTTTGAACATCCTATTTGTGTGAAAATGAAGCTTAAATATATACAAGTTTATGGCAAAACTTTCGATATAATGTTCTCGAATAAATTAATTCACGAGATAATGCACTCCCCAGATTAATTGCTCAAATAGGGTGAAATCCACAGTGTTGGCCGTAGGTCGCCATACCATCCGGGCGACCTATTAGGTCGCTATTTCTTCCCGGCGAGCTACGAGATATTTTGCATGTGCCATGCACGTCCCAACACGCTTGGCATCCGAGGCCATCCGAGCGAGCTATGCGAGAGCATCCGAGGCCATCCGAGCACATCCGATCGAGGCCATCCGAGGGGTAGGTCGCCATGCACGCTGGGCTAAGTAACAAATATTACCTACATCGGTAATTAGGCTTTCATACGATTACCTAAATTTCCCTTAGTAACAACGATTACCTACATCGGTAATTAGGCTTTTTAACTGCACGAAAATGGAGGTCGCCATGTATGCCGAGCGACCTTATAGGTTGCCATGTGATCTCGGCGACCAAACTGACGGGATGCCTAGTTACCGATATAAGTAATGAAGCAGCTCACCACAGCTTGCAGGGACGACATGGCGATATGTTCAAACCATAGATTTCACCCTATCTCAACAAATAATTTTAATTAGGCTTTATTTCAACTAATAATTTTTTTCAAAACTCTACATCAACAAATCACCCCCTAAGTTTGTATCTTTAATTACGGTCTTTGTTGAGTTGGGTCCTCGAGGAGCATTCATTTCATATATGACATCACCTTAGATGGATCGTGAGGTATTAAGAAGTACGACAGCATCTATGAAAATTTCAAATCTCCGTTTAATTAGACGTATTTTTTTTATATTTTTATTGGTGATTTAATTTAATATTTTTAATATTTTTAATTCTATTTTTCTTTATATAAAATCTTTTGTTAATCTTTAAACATCATAAAAACGAATCTAGGATTTTACGTTAGAAGATAAATTTATATTAAAAAATAACGATATAAAGATTACTTATTGTAAATATAAAATATATATCTAAATTATAAGGGAATTTAAAATTTTCGGTTCTTCGTCTGAGTGAAAATCACCAATATTGGATGCAACCATATTAACATTTTATATTTTAAGGGTAAATTATATATTAGTATCCTAACTATCATTTTTATTTTATTTTGTCATTCAATTATTTTTTAAATTATATTTAATGTTACATTTTGATATTATTTTGGTAACTTATCATTGAAAAATAATAGAATTAATGATGTGATAATTTTTTTATTTTTTCAATAATGATGTGAAATTTTTTTATGATAATACATCAACATCACCATTAATTTTTAAAATATAAATAATTAAAATAAAATTAAAACTAAATGTTATGTATATAATTTAAAAATAAATAATTAAATTACTGAAATAAAATATAAGTGATAGTTGAAATAGCAAACCGAAGTTTACATCGAAAATATAAAATGTTAGTGAAAAAAAAGTATTATCTTTGAGAGCCGAGTGACAAACTATTTGGTAGGCATACGTTTCACTAATTTCAGGGTTTACCGTTTACTCGAAAAACCCTAGAAACAGAAAAGAAAGGGGGAAATCAACTTCAAGTAATGGTTTCACTAGCCAGTGGCTCGGCGGAGCCTCTCTCTGCATCGGGACGGAGCGCAGAGAAGCTGAGTCTCCCCTCCCTCCAATCTAAAATGAAAATTGACCCGGAAGGCTACGATAAGGAGCTCAGTCTCATCCGCAGCCAATTCTATTCCGCTCACGAGCTTTTCCAGCAGCAAGCGGCTCTCAACTTCTCCTCCATCAGTGGCGTCGGTGCGGACCCAACTGTGGCCAAGGACCTCGCCGACCGCTCCATGTTCTTGGCCCACGTCACGTCGTTTTATCCCAAGCAGCTCGCCGAGTTCCCTTCTGATCTCGCTGCTTTTCTCAAATCATCTGCAAGGACTCTTCCATCGGGTCTTAGGTTCCACGTCACACAAGCTCTCATTCTCCTAGTTAACCGGAAGGTGATTGAAAAAATTAGTTAGCTTTTTTTTGTTATCTATATTCGTAAGGTTAAAAAAATTGTCGAGTATTAATCTTAGATGTTTTGGTTTGACTTGAAAATTTGAATTTTGGCATTTGACAGATTATTGATATAAAAGACACTCTAGCGTTGTTCATGGAGTTGCAGATACTAGATGATAGGAATTTGAGGAAATTAGCTTTTTCTCATGTAGTTCATAGTATTAGAAGAATGAACAAGAATCATAAGAACGAGGCCAAGAATCGTGCCCTCCAGAATGTCTTGTTTGCATTATTGCAGGTCTTTAAACAATGCCATTTTTTTCAGTCATAGTTTATTGTTGGTTGCCTTTTTTAATATATTTTCTATATTTGTTAAAGCAAGAAGATGAAGCAAAAGCAAAAAGGTCTCTTATTACATTAAGTGAGCTTCATCGGAGAAAGGTTTGGTTTGATGATAGAACAGCAAATGCAATTTGTATGGCATGTTTTCATTCATCTTCTAGGTATATATGATTTCTCTATGGTTAATATCTGTTGTTTATGATGTTGAGTTTTAGTAAGTAAATTATTTGTATTTGATTTTGCAGAATAATGATTGCTGTTCTCTCTTTTCTTCTTGATTATGAAAAGATTGAAAATGATGATGAGGATACAGATGATTTAAGTAGTGAAGATGAAATGGCTAAAAATCCCCAAGTTGTCATCAACAAGGAGACTGCTTACAAGGTTATTTGCATCTTCTGATCCAAATTCTGTTTTTTTTTATTCTTTTACCACTCTCCTTTGCTATTAGTGCCAACTCTGAAATTTCCTTGATTCTACCAGGGGCTCTACACTCCTCTTAGCTTTTGTAGGTTTATGATGATACAAATAAGTTTTAGTAATTGAAATATATATGTATGTATGTATGTATATACATGGCTGACGTACGGAATATCATTGCCTAGCAGTTTGTGTCTTTTTTATTGTTATTTAAAGAACAGTAGCTGCTTTCTGTTTTCTTTAGATTACAATATATGTGGTTGGTTTTATTGTATTTCAAGGCACATCATAAGGGTACAACTGCTAGCAAGAAGAAAAAGAAAGCTAAACTACAGCGTGCTATTCGTAGCATGAAAAGGCAGCAACGCCTGTCATCAGAATGTAGCAATAATAGTTATTATTCACCCCTTTACCATCTAAAAGATGCACAGGTTTGACCCTTTTCACACATTTTATGAATTGCATTTGCTGTAATATTACATTTTTGTCGAAAGCATAAGATTCTGTTTTGTACACAGGGATTTGTAGAAAAACTGTTTTCTCGCCTTCAAACCTGCAATGAACGATTTGAGGTGAATGCTTTTCCCGATGCTTCGAATTTGGCAGATTTTACCCTACCTCCTGTAGAAATTATATTTTTTCCATCATTTTTATCCTACCTGATTGTTTAGTTTTTATATTTCCTTCTGAATTGAATGTCTGACTTCAGGTTATGAAAGCTTTAGTTAGAGGTTCATATGCAGTTTGTTTTCACCTGTCAATAAACTCTTAAATTAAATGCCTCATTGATTTTGAGTTCCCTCCCCTGTTTAACTTCAGGTTAAAATGATGATGTTGAAAGTGATTGCTAGAACAGTCGGCCTTCACCGCCTGATATTATTAAATTTCTACCCTTTTCTTCAAAGATATGTTCAGGTATGCTGTCTTCGTTCAAGTGTTCCGTCATAAACATAAAACTTGCTCTGGTTAATACGAGCTGGGTATCTTTGCAGCCTCATCAAAAAGATATCACTAATTTACTTGCAGCAGCAGTTCAGGCCTGTCATGATATGGTATGGTTTTCCATTTGATTGTTTGAATGTCTCATTTTAACTATTAGCTTTTTATTTCCCTTCTTACTTTAGCTTTCACTGGTTTCCTCTCACCAATTTGAATCTTGTTTAAGCAGGTTCCTCCTGATGCAGTGGAGCCATTGTTCAAACAAATAGTAAATCAATTTGTACATGATCGTTCACGACCAGAGGTACTGCTTGTTGCTTAAAAGCTGCTCTATAAATCATTTTTCTTTTTACTGACTGATTAAATATTTGCGTGATGTTCTAGGCAATTGCTGTTGGACTGAACGTGATAAGGGAAATATGTTTGCGCATGCCATTGGTAACTATCAATGTCATTTGGTTTCTGAACCCATGGACTCATTAATACTACTTTCAGCACTCCCCTGGACAAAACTAACACATACACAACCTTCAATCGACCCTATAAAAATACTTTCAAATATTTGATATATTTTAGGTGCTTCTGTTAAAGTGAATCGATTGCTATAAATTACCTTTTTATTTCATGAGTGCATTCATTTATGCATGTTATATTGCTTAAAATCTTTGAAGACAATCATTTGTTTCTTGATACTAGCTGATGAATGAAGATTTACTACAAGATCTCGTATTGTATAAAAAGTCACATGAAAAGGCAGTTTCAGCTGCAGCTCGCTCCCTTATTACTTTGTTTAGAGAGGTATTTTTGTCTCTCCATACTTTTTTGCGTGCAGATGCCTGGTTCTCTAACATTACATTTTCTTTTTTGTGTTCATTCACCTTGACTGCATAATTCTCCACTTTGTTTTATTGTCAGATTTGCCCTTCACTGTTGGTTAAGAAAGACCGTGGCCGTCCAGTGGACCCTAAGGCAAAACCAAAGGCATATGGAGAAGTCAATATCCTTAGCAATGTTCCTGGCATTGAATTACTGGAACATGGAGATGAAATTGATGGCAGAGAGGATGATGAAAGCGGAGATGAGGCTGCATCTATTAGTTCTGATGATGACAATGGAGGCAGTGATGATGAAAAAAGTCAATATACTGCTGATGGTTCAAATGAGGATGAGGATATAATGGATGAAGAAGATGCCGGGAATGACAGTATTGATGAGGATGAGAGTGATAGCAATGATGCCAATGAGGAAAATGATGATGGGGATAACATTGAGACTGAGGAGTTGGATGCCGAAGAGGATGATGACTATGAAGATGTTAGTGATTATTCAGAGCCAGATGATGGTGCAGTAGATGGTGGGAATGAAGATCCAAAGGCAAAGGCAAGAAAGAGAAAATTGTCTGATTTTGAGGGTCAACTTGTTGCTGCTGATACAAGTCTTCGAGCTTTAAAAAGGTTGGCAGAAACAAAGATGAGTGGTTCTTCATCAGACTTAGCAGATGATATTCTCTCTGATGAGCATTTCCAAAAGATCAAGAAACTTAAGGTATGTTAATTTTGTTCTATCAGATGTAAGTCCAAGTTGATGCCTAAAGTGTTATCTTGCGCAGATCTATTTACTATCCTATCAAAAGAACTATAGTTTGTTGCAGAAGTTCGGACTTGGTAAACTCAATTATTATTATTTTTGTTTTTTTTTGGGGGGTTGTCTTCATTTATCTTATCAGGCTAAGAAGGAAGCAAAAACTGCATTGGCTCAACAAGGCTTTAAGATTCCAAGTTCTGATCAACTAAGTTTCAAACGAGTGGATCCTTCAAAGCTTGAAGTATGTCTTCTCTGTATTGATAAGCACATTTTCCCAACTAATTACTGTTCCTTGTAAAAAAATGTATTATCAAAATTTTATCTGTGCTTCATAGGCCCATGTTCGACTCAAGCTTAACAAGGAGGAGAGACTGGCATTAGTAAAAGCAGGAAGGGAGGACAGAGCACAGTACCAGGCTCGAACTGCTATAAAACAGAAAAAGGTAATTTCGATTTCTTTTTACGTTTTATGGGTCGGTTTTCCAGGATGTTAGCAACTCACTTTAGTAAACCAATCAACTATAGCATTTGAAGTTTCCCATTTTTGAACTTGTTTTAGACATCTTGGCTTATCTTGTAAGAGAACGAGTCATTGCAGTTAAGAAGAAAGTTTTGAAATTGTGGTGCTAGTTGGATTGTTCGTATAATCCGCTAAGCCATTTGTTTTGTTTCTCGTGTGGTGTTGTGAATGCAGACGGGTGGTCTAAGCAACCGCCAGAAGGAACACAAAAAGTTTATGCCTCTTGCTGCGAAGAAAGCTAAGGCGCAAAGATCTCGACAAGAAAAAAATAAGAAGAGGTCGCATTCCGGCAAGCAGTTCCGTGGGAAGAAGGCTTGGAAGCAATGATAACATCAGGCAAAGCATTGATAATACCATTTCCACAGAACACAGCAAGCTTGGTTAAAAGTTGAGATCTTCTGGTTATTCTTTTAAATTTCATGTTATAATATTATTTCTCTTCTTACAACCATTATGTTATTGTGGCGTAAACGCCTATTAGCGTAGGAGAAATGTCGAGAGTATTTCTCACATGTTGCGCTAGTGTTTTTCTTTTTGGTAACTTGTCAATCATGTTTACATTTTTCATGCTGACATTAATACAATATCTTATTATTATTATTATTATTTTTTATTGTATATATTTTGAAAACTTTTGTCTTTCATGAGTTTGAATCTTATTATTATTTAAACATATTTTCAGCGTAATTAATATTGTATTAGAACAATAATAAAATATAAATCCTCCTTTGATTTTTGCATAATATAATAATGAGCTCCCGATTTTTACTTTCTGTTATATGAAAATCTATATGAGAATTAAATTTACATAAAATGATTTTTTTTATAAATTTAAATTGGTCATAAGAATACGTAATTAAGGATGGATAAATTTCAAACAATATTACTTTTTAAAATTTTGAGTTAATAAAGACCAAATGTGCAAGTAACGAATAATAATTTTATTAACGCAAAAGAGTATGTGAGGCCTCACGCTTTTCAAAAGAAATCAATGCAGCTCTTATAATTTTTTACACTCAATGTGACCCTCAAACTTAGAAAACAAATTTAATGTGATCTTTTGACTAACGGTTTTCATTATTGACCGTTACAGTGCTGACGTGGTGGTCTATAGTGGCTGGTGATGTGGCAAATGGGCTAGATTGATTTTTTTGTCGAGTTCGAGGGTCGAATTAGATTTTTTTAAGTTCAATGGCTTATTTGATTTTTCTTCAAAAATTTATTTTAAATTTTAAATTTAAACTATACAAATATAGAAATTTGATTCATTTGAAAAGTTGGATAATTTGGATTATGAATGATATGCTAAAATTGAAGGTGCAAAAGGTATAAAATTTTTAAAGATTGTGATGAAAGAAATGAAAGAATTTGTATAAATCAGCTGAAAATAATTAAAATATAAAAATATCAATTTATTTCTTTAAGTTATTTTATTTAATTATCGATTGAATATTAATTCACTTGAAATTATTATTACAATTAAAAAATAAGTATTTATATGTATTTAAGTTTATTATTTTAAACTTAAAGGTTGAGATTTAAAAATAATTTAAGTATCATAATTTTAAAAAAATATTCCCGAGCAAATATATTTGATCGGGTGGTCAAGTTGCTTATTTTTATTCTTCATATTTCCTTAGTAATTTAATTTTAAATATATATATATTAGTTTTTTTAGTAATTTAATTTTTATTTTTAGTATTTTTATATTTAATTATTTTATATATTTGTATAGTTTAAATTTAAAATTTAAAATCTAAAATAATTTTTTTTCTGAAAAATCAAATAAGCCTTTGAACTTTAAAAATATCCAATTTGACCCACGAACTTGACAAAAAACCAATTTAGCCTATATGTCATGTCACCAACCATTATGGATCCTCACGTTAGCACAGTGAAGTATCTCGTCAATAACGATTAACGATGAAAAAAAGTTGGTCAAAGAGTTAAATTGAGTTTATTTTCTAATTTTGATAGTTATATTAGATGAAAAAAATGAAGAGGACCGCATTGATTTTTTTCAAAAAGTATGAGGGCCTCACATATCCTTTTACCTTCTATTAAATGTCACATCAAATTATTTGTTAAAGTAACTTAATAAGAACTTGATTCATCAAATTAAATCTTTGTAATTAAGTGAGTGATAACAGATGTTATGAACTTAAAAATATATATGATGATCTATCATCATGATGCATGCAGACCAAGTCGTACGATGCGAAACTCACCGTCTTATCACTGCCACACATGTCCTACATCCACGATATTGGCTAAACTCTCGAGATAATGTTCTCGAATAAATTAATTCACGAGATAATGCACTCCTCAGATTAATTGCTCGGGCGATCTACTAGGTCGTCATGTCTTTCCGACGAGCTATGAGAGAGATTGCATGTGTCATGCACGTTCCAACACGTTGGGCATCCGAAGGCATCCGACCGATGCCATTCGAGCGAGCTATGCGAGGGCATCCGAGGGCAAGAGGAATCACGCGAGGAGCAGGAGGAGTGCATGGCGACCTACAAGGTCGCCAGGAGTGCATGGCAACCTATGCTGGAAAGCTGCCACGCCGTAGGTCGCCCGGGAGGCATGACGACCTACGGCCAACACTGTGCAATTCACCCTATTTAAACAATTAATCTTGGGAATACGTTATATCATTAAATAAAATTTTCGAGAACATTATCTCGAAAATTTTGCCCAACGACATTCTTGCCTTGTCCTTCTCTTCCGTATATACATAGTCTGTTTGCTATGATAAATATCAATCAACTGAGAAACTCGAAGAAACGATTCTGATGATATTGGAGTTTTGAAATGGCTATTATTATTACACTTTTTTGGGTTTGGATATGAGCTACGTTAGCTATAATTCTTCGAAGAAGCTAATAATACCCTTGAAACGTCGCTGCGTACGGTCGGGATCCAAGTATCGTCGGCATCAACTTCCCCGCTTCCGTTTCTCTACGGAATGGACCCCACTTCTCGCCCCACCGTCGTCATTGACAACGGTACTGGGTATGGTTCATCTTCTGGAAACCGTAACAGGAATTCATCTTCTCGCCCCACAATATGTTTCATCATCTGTTCTTTTTTGTTGTTTTTATTATTGAATGTGCCCTCTTTTTTATTTGTTGCAGTTATTCTAAGATGGGATTCGCGGGTAACGTGGAGCCGTGTTTTATTCAACCAACAGTAGTAGCGCTTAACGATTCGTATCTAAACCAGACAAGAGCTTCCTCGAAGCTAAACATGGCTAACCAATATTCAGCTGGTGTAATGGCAGACCTCGATTTCTTCATCGGAGATGATGCACTGTTGAGATCGCGAGCGAGTAATACTTATACCCTTAGCCATCCTATTAACCACGGCCAGGTGGATGATTGGGATGCTATGGAACGGTATTGGCAGCACTGTATATTCGCTTATCTACGTTGTGATCCTGAGGACCATTACTTTTTGTTGACCGAGAGTCCACTCACTGCTCCCGAGAATCGAGAGTACATGGGTGAAATTATGTTTGAGACGTTTAATGTTCCGGGGCTTTATATTGGTGTGAACTCCGTTCTTGCTTTAGCAGCTGGGTACAGTACATCTAAGGTCTGTCACTCACTCGTTTTCGACCCATTTTGTTGTGTCATGGTAATGGTATTGTATGCCTTCGTTATTATATTTGTTATACCCCCGTCAAACATCCTCTGAGTATTATCTTCACATTTCAAAATTTTCGGAGAACCCCTTCGTAGTTAGGATTTTGAAAGAATAATTGCGGAGAAATAACCTTAAACACACAATATTCCTAAAAAAAACTGTAATTTCTTGATTTGATCTCTACAGTATTAAGTGACTTGCCATGGTTAAATGCGTCAACTTACCATATTCACTCAGATTGTTAATTTACAAGTAGTAATTATGACTCTATGCCTGACATCGACATTAAGAGTCATTATAAAGCCTCTCGACTAAGATCAAGATAAGAATCTGTAAACATTTATCTCTCACTTATTTCTTTTCTATCTCCTTATGGAGACAAAATATCTTAACATCGGCTAACAATGGTCTAACCACCGACTGTGACTCGCTCAAATCAAAATGAATGAACCACCTACAACCACCGTGACCCATCTGTTACAGTCAAGAATATTACACAATCTAGTTTGAGTCCTTAGGTTGTTAGCATTATTTATAATAATAACAAAAAACATCGAATTGCGAGTTTGAATGTTGGTTCTAGGCGGTTACATATGCAGTAGTAATCACGTGTTGTAGCAAATGCTTTCAGATTTATGTATTATTTATCCAGTCTTTACATTTATAATACATCAAGCTTGGTGGAAATTGTTTATGATGAAGGAATGAGTTGTCTGATATGTTGAAAACTTCATGGTCATAGATTTTCAAGAACCTATCTTGTATTTAGCTTTATACCCTACATAATGTGCTTGTTCCTTTCTCTCGCTAATCATTCTTTTATTTTGATCACATTTAGATTGAACTACGTTTTCTGTAGTGTGATATGACAGGGGTGGTAGTGGATGTTGGAGAGGGGGCTACTCGTGTTGTACCTGTTGCAGAAGGTTATGTTATTGGGAGCTGCATTAAGTCGATACCGATAGCTGGAAAAGATGTTACTCTCTTCATACAGGAGCTCATGAGGGTATCTCTTTTTTCATAACTCTATGCTTTGATATCATTGGATTTCTATTCATACAATTTCAAAGTACTCGAGGGTTATTATCATGTGTTGATGAGAAAAACCACAAATAGAAGAGTAGAATTTTATTAATTTTACTCGTATACTTCTGTACTTTCATTTTTTTTTTTTGCATCCTTCATATAGGTATTTGGGGTGTGTGGAATAATCTGTGGGGAAATCAATGTCATTTGACGTATGTGCAATTTGTTGTTTGAATTTTGTTGCCTATTCTTTTGTTTCCATTTGAAGAAATGCTAGTTTTAGTTCAGCAACAGCTGTTTGTATTTTTGTTTTCTTTTTTCAATTTCTAGAGTTTTTGCATTAGATTATTGTTCTGTTCATGTTATCCCTCGACGAAGATGGCTTTTCCTGTAAAGGCTCATGGAAACTGAACTTAGATATTGTTGGAGTAAAGGTCAGTAAGTGCGGCTGAATAAAAAAAAGAAGGGGCACCGCACAATTGATTTTTCAACAATTGCAAAGTCAGAAATGGGAGGCACGAATTCGGTGCAATTAATATTTTGTTGAAAATGGTATTGGTTTAATTACACTTTAGTCATTGTATTTTAGGGTATTTTTAAATATTAATCATTAAGCTTCAACTATAAATACTCTAGCTCATTCAGCTTCAAAATCATCCCAAAATCTTCCAGTTCTCTCTTAAGTGTGTTTTGTAAACACCTGTAAAATTTCTCTTTAGTGAAAGATCTGCAGCAGTCCGGAGACGTAAGCACAATTGGCTGAACTCCGTTATCAATTTCGGGTATTATTTTTCCGCTTTTATTTCACATTCTCACTAATCTGGTTATAGGGAAATTACTCGTTCTAGGTTTAATTCCCAACAACTGGTAATCAGAGCTTTTGGTTATGAATTTTGTCAATTTTTTGCGAGGTTACTATTCATTATTATTGACGTGAATAGTGAAATTTTATCGGCGATACGAATTTGTCGACGAATGTGTTATAATACACGGTGGTTCGCACAAATTGTCAGAAACGATCCAAAGAAGCCAGATTCGAGTGGGAGCGATGGCTGCAGACGAAGGGAAGGTGAAAATTGAATTGAAAAGTTCGATGGTGCGGACTTTGGTTTTTGGAAGATGCAGATTGAAGATTTTCTGTACCAAAAAAATCTATATCAACCTCTCTCAGGAAAACAACCAGAGGGCATGAAGAATGAAGACTGGGCTCTTCTCGACAGACAAGCCCTCGGAGTTATCCGACTGACGTTATCCCGCAATGTTGCTTTCAACATAGCAAAGGAAAAGACCACGGCGGGTCTTATGGCGGCTCTCTCCAGTATGTATGAGAAGCCATCGGCCTCAAACAAAGTTCATTTGATGAGACGATTATTCAATTTGCGGATGACGGAAGGGGCATCGATGGCACAATACCTAAATGAACTCAACACAATCACAACCCAGTTGAGTTCAGTGGAAATTGAATTCGATGATGAAGTTCGAGCTTTAATTCTCTTATCATCTCTACCATATAGTTGGAATGCTACCGTAACAGCAGTTAGCAGCTCGTCGGGAAATAGTAAATTGAAATTCGACGATGTTCGAGATCTGGTACTAAGCGAAGAAATTCGACGGAGAGAATCGAGTGAAGCATCAACCTCCTCAGCCTTGCACACGGAGTCCAGAGGGAGAACTTCAGAAAGAAATTCAAATCATGGCAGATCGAAATCCAGACGGGAAAAATCCAGAACGGGAAAGAAAGATTTTACCTGCTATAATTGTGGCAAGAAGGGTCACTTTAAAAGAGTTTGCCGAGCACTGAAGAAAAATACCGACGCACATAAATCTGCCAACGTGACAGAGGAGACAGGTGATGCCATGATTCTAAGCGTCAACAGTCCGATTGAATCATGGATCTTGGATTCAGGGGCATCTTTCTACTCCACCCCATGCTGAGAAATCATAGAAAATTATGTCAGTGGTGATTTTGGGAAGGTTCATCTAGCTGATGATGAAACCTTGAAGATCGTCGGAAAAGGAGACATCCGACTAAAGTTGCCAAACCAGACCACCTGGACGCTGAAAGGTGTGAGACATATTCCTGGTCTCAAAAGAAATTTGATTTCTGTTGGACAACTTGATGGAGAAGGATATAGCACAACCTTTTCAGGTTGTGAATGGAAGATTACCAAAGGAGCACTCGTCATTGCTCGTGGTAAGAAAACTGATACTCTCTATGTAACCTCAAATTTAGAGAATATCATTGCAGCCACAAATGCTGATGGAAAATCAAACTTATGGCACCAAAGGCTTGGTCACATGAGCGAGAAAGGGATAAAGACACTTTTGTCAAAAGGGAAGCTGCCGGATTTAAAGAATGTAGATGTCGGACTATGCGAGGATTGCATCTTTGGCAAACAAAAGAAAGTCAGTTTTGCAAAAATTGGCAAGACACCGAAGGCTGAAAAGTTAGAGTTGGTTCATACTGATGTATGGGGACCATCTCCAGTTCCATCTCTTGTAGGCCCACTATATTATGTCACATTCATTGATGATTCTACAAGAAAGGTGTGGGTTTATTTTCTGAAGAAGAAATCAGAAGTCTTTGATACCTTCAGAAAATGGAAGGTCATGGTGGAAAATGAGACTGGTTTGAAAGTCAAGCGGTTGAGGTTTGACAATGGAGGAGAGTACAAAAATAGGAGATTCAAAGATTTCTGTGCAAACAATGAGATCAAGATGGAGATAACAGTTCCCATGACACCACAGCAGAATGGCGTAGCAGAGCGCATGAATAGAACTCTGAATGAACGTGCCAGAAGCATGAGGATACATGCCGGATTACCCAAATTTCTATGGGCTGAAGCTATCAACACTGCAGCTTACCTGATCAACCGTGGGCCCTCAGTTCCTTTAGATGACAGAATACCAGAGGAAGTTTGGAGCAAGAAAGAAGTAAATCTTTCACACTTAAGAGTGTTTGGTTGTATTTCTTATGTACACATAAACTCCGCTGAAAGAAGTAAACTCGATGCTAAGTCCAACAAATGTGCCTTTGTTGGTTATGGCGGTGATGAGTTCGGTTACCGATTTTGGGACTATGAAAATCAGAAGATCATCAGAAGCAGAGATGTCATTTTCAATGAGAATGTGATGTACAAAGACAGGTCAACTGTAGAATCAAGCAGCTCTAATACCAAAGCTGAAACAAAGGAATTTGCTGAGTTCGAGGAGATTTCTAGAAATGATGTTCAGATCAATCCTGAAGCAGTTCAAGAAGAACCAGGCACACCAGAACTGAGACGCTCCTCCAGAATTCCTAAACCAACCCAACGATATTCTCCTTCTTTGCATTACTTGCTGCTGACCGACAATGGTGAACCAGAGTGCTATGATGAAGCAATGCAAGTGGAGGATTCAGTCAAGTGAGAGTCTTCCATGAAAGATGAGATAGACTCGCTTTTGTCAAATCAGACGTAGGAATTAGTTGAATTACCACCAGGCAAGAAAGCGCTCCACAATAAGTGGATTTATAGGATCAAAGAAGAGCACGATGGGAGCAAACGCTACAAAGCAAGATTAGTTGTCAAAGGCTTTCAGCAAAAAGAAGGTATTAACTATAATGAAATTTTCTCTCCAGTCGTAAAACTGTCTACAATCAGACTGGTGTTGAAAATTGTAGCTGCAAAGAATTTACATCTTGAGCAGTTAGATGTAAAGACAACTTTCCTTCATGACGATTTGGAGGAAGAAATCTATATGAGGCAGCCAGAAGGCTTCATAGAGGCAGGCGAGAAAAACCTGGTATGCAGGTTGAAGAAGAGCTTGTATGGTTTAAAACAAGCTCCTAGACAGTGGTACAAGAAGTTTGGTAGTTTCATGAGTAGCAGTGGTTTTACCAGATGCCAAGCAGATCATTGTTGCTACATCAAGAGGTTTGACAACAGCTTCATTATTTTATTATTGTATGTTGATGACATGCTCGTTGCAGGCTCAGATATGCAAGAGATTATAAACTTGAAGAAAAAATTGTCGAAACAGTTTGCTATGAAGGATCTGGGCGCTGCAAAGTAGATTCTTGGGATGAGGATCAAAAGAGCGGGGACTTTGATGTTATCACAAGCTGAGTACATCAACAAAGTACTCTCTAGGTTCAACATGCAAGATGCTAAACCAGTAAGTACACCTTTAGGTGTTCATTTCAGACTCTCCAAAGACCAATCACCAAAGACGGAGGAAGAACGTGCACACATGGTGAAGGTGACGTATGCCTCAGCAATTGGAAGTCTGATGTATGCCATGGTTTGTACCATACCAGATATTGCTCATGCAGTGGGAGCTGTTAGCAGGTACATGAATAATCCAGGCAAGGTACACTGGGAAGCAGTCAAATGGATCCTCAGATATCTGCGGGGTACCACAAACAAAGCACTTTATTTCAAATGTGGAGATACAATGCTGACAGGCTATGTAGATGCTGACTTAGCCGGAAATGTTGACATCAGAAGGAGCACTACAGGGTATGTCTATACTATAGGAGGAACTGCAGTGAGTTGGGTTTCTCAACTACAGAAGATAGTTGTTCTCTCCACAACTGAAGCAGAATATGTCGCTGTTACGGAAGCTAGCAAGGAGATGGTTTGACTCCAAAGTTTCTTGGAAGAGTTAGGCAAGAAACAAGAAAACAATGTCTTGTATTGCGACAGTCAAAGTGCTATACATCTAGCAAAGAATCCTTCTTTTCATTCCAGGATAAAGCACATACAATTGCGATATCATTTTATCCGGTCTCTTCTGGAAGATGGGGTTTTGAAACTTGAAAAGATCAATGGAGCTCAAAATCCGGCAGACATGTAGACAAAGATGGTGACTACAGACAAACTGAAGTTGTGTTCAACTTCAGTTGACATGCTAGAGTAACAAGACTAGAAAAGTTGTTGCATTGATCGAGGTGTGAAGACAAATTAAAATCAATCTTCAAGTGGGAGATTGTTGGAGGAAAGGTCAGTAAGTGCGGCTGAATAAAAAAAAGAAGGGGCACCGTACAATTGATTTTTCAACAATTGCAAAGTCAGAAATGGGAGGCACGAATTCGGTGCAATTAATATTTTGTTGAAAATGGTATTGGCTTAATTACACTTTAGTCATTGCACTTTAGGGTATTTTCAAATATTAGTCCTTAAGCTTCAACTATAAATACTCTAGCTCATTCAGCTTCAAAATCATCCCAAAATCTTCCAGTTCTCTCTTGAGTGTGTTTTGTAAACACCTGTAAAATTTCTCTTTAGTGAAAGATCTGCAGCAGTCCGGAGACGTAAGCACAATTGGTTGAACTCCGTTATCAATTTCGAGTATTATTTTTCCGCTTTTATTTCACATTCTCACTAATCTGGTTATAGGAAAATTACTCGCTCTAGGTTTAATTCCCAACAGATATGACCCTTCTTGTGGTTGTTTTGAGTATGCATGCGTGTGTGTATCTTGGATTTGAGATATGGTCATTGTAAAATTAGTATTCAGTTGTCATGAATTCTTGACCTCTGCAGGAAAGGGGAGAGAAAATGCCACCCGAGGACTCATTTGAAGCAGCTCGGAAAGTGAAGGAGATGTACTGCTATACTTGTTCTGATATTGTCAAGGTTATTTTGCTTTCAGTGGATTGTGATTTTGGAACAGCTCTTAACCTCATGATTCTTACCCGGCTTAGTTACTGTAATGTTCACAAGTTCCAACTTTCGAATGGTGATCCGATAATGACTATTTTCTGGAACTGTCTTAGGAGTTCACCAAGAATGATAACGAACTTGCAAAGTATATCAAGCAGTGGAGGGGTATTAGACTGAAGACAGGGGCACCATACACCTGCGATATTGGTTATGAACGATTTTTAGGCCCTGAGGTTTGTCCTCTTTTTGCTTGCAAAGTGATTTCTAAAGTCTAAGATTGCTGAAACTTTTGGCATTTATGTTGCTGGCTGCCTTGGTGTGCAAGTTTTTCTTGATTCCCTTGAATTTAGATTTCTTCATGGTGTGCTTTGCCCTTTTCCAACTTTGTTTTTCAAGAAACGAAAACTTGAAGATTGCTTGTTGCTGATGCTTTTTCGATGTCTGGTTCAACAGCTTTTGTTTAGTCCGGAGATCTATACCAGTGATTATATAACTCCCTTGCCAGCTCTAGTAGATAAATGCATTCAGTCAGCACCAATTGACACAGGAAGAGCTTTATATAAGGTGAAGTATGCATAGGCTCAAATGCAAATCTTGATTTTTTGCTTTATATAACTCTTTGGCATCTCTTTCACTTTTTGCCTGATATTTCAACTCTTTCAGAATATTGTATTATCTGGTGGATCAACCATGTTCAAAGACTTCCACAGAAGGTTGCAGCGGGACGTTAAAAAGATCGTGGATACGCGTGTTCGGGCGGCAACCGCTCATCATGGTGGGGATATAAAAGTAAGGATTTTGTGCTTGTATTTTCATCCCATTAACATTTTGCCAAAGCTCAGTGCTATTCTCCTTTTGGGGCTTCACCTTGCAGGCAAAACCATGTAGTCAGTCATCCTATCCAAAGATTTGCCGTTTGGTTCGGAGGTTCTGTACTGGCATCGACACCGGAATTCTTCGCGGTACGAATCTCTGCTTCTAAACGAACCTTCTACTCATCATTTATTGCTTTTATCGATATGTAAATTGTCTGATGTGCTTGCCATTACTGTCTCCATGTGCATCATTCTTAATCTTAAGAACTAAACTCCGGTTTTGGCTGAAAGTCTCCTTAACTTGCCAATGTGAAGGCTTGTCATACAAAAGCAGAATACGAGGAACATGGAGCAAGCATTTGCCGTGTGAATCCAGTTTCAAGGGGATGTTTTGAAGCAAATATCCATTTCTCAGCTCAGTATTAACAGAGCCTTCTCCGGTGACCCGCTAATTCGAGTTCCATCATGCACATCGGTTCACTTCGATGATTCCGGCTTTACTCGGTTCACACCGTTGTTATTGCAATATCTAAGAGATTTTAAGGTCAACTGTGTTTAAGCACAATTATTTCCAACTTAACGATCGACTTTGCTCGATTCACATCGTTATTATGCAATATCTAAGAGGCTGTGAATTCGATTGTGCTTAAACACAATTACCTTCAGCTTAGAGATCGAAGATTATAAACAATTTAGTCATTATAGTTTGTAATGAAGTCTTACCCCCCATTATTCCAATTAAATGCACAAATTAAAAGCTTTATAAATAATTTCATGTAGTCAATAATATATTTACAATTTCATCACTTGTTTTTATATGTTGATATATGTGGATATTAACTTTCATATATATATATATATATATATATATATATATATATATATATATATATATATATATATGTTGAAAATTGATAAATTCCCACTGAAAGTTGGAATTGGAAAAAAATCAATTCCACCTAAAACTTTGAAAAAGGGAATGGTAGGCATGAATTAGATGTTGAATATTTTGAATGGAAAAATTAATTTTAGTCATTAGACTTTAGGATATTTATAAGATTAGTCCTTAAAATTTAACTATAAATACCCTAGCTCATTTAGCTTCAAAATCATCCCAAAGCATTCTAGTTTTATTCTAATACTAGAGAATTTAGAGAGTATCTTGAGAGTTGTTTTCTCCTTTTTTATCAAAAGAGAATTATTATTGTTTTCTCCTTGGTAGATCGAGAGAGGTTGTAATTCCTATTTTCTCATAGTGAAATTCTTCTACCGTTGCCCATGGTTTTTACCCTAAATTTTTAGGGGTTTTCCACGTAAATTTTGTGTCTATTTTATCTTCATTTTCATTTTCTCAAATTATCAGTTGCGATTTTGCTCTATCCGATAGCCGTCTTACGCAACAATTGGTATCCGAGCCAGATTAGAGTGTGTAATATCTGCTTATTGTCTTTGTGGTTGCCACCAAAAGGTGGATCCTCCAACATAAGAAAGTAAGAAGTTATTACTCATTCTTTGAAGGTTCCAGAGAACTATTCACGATAGTGAAATAGTGGGAGTTATCCGTAAAAGAAGCTATGGCAACGAAATTTGATATTGAAAAATTCAATGGGAGAAATTTCTCATTGTGGAAATTGAAGATGAAGGTCATCCTGAGGAAAGACGGTTGTCTAGCAGCTATCATTGAAAGGTCGGTGGATTTCATAGATGACAACAAATGGATCGAAATGGACAAGAATGCTATGTCAAACTTTCATCTAGCATTAGCAGATGAAGTATTGTCAAGCATCGAGGAAAAGAAGACAGCTAAGGAGATATGGGATCATCTCACCAAACTGTACGAGGCCACATCGCTGCACAATAAAATTTTCCTTAAGAGAAAATTGTACACTCTCCGTATGCCAGAATCTACTTCAGTGACAGAGCACTTAAATACGTTGAACACTTTATTTTCTCAGCTTACATCCTTAAGCTGTAAAATAGGAGAACAAGAACGTGCTGAACTTCTACTTCAAAGTCTACCGGATTCGTATGATCAACTCATCATCAACTTGACAAACAATAATGTCACCAATCTAGTCTTCGATGACGTTGCAGCTGCTGTTCTACAAGAAGAAAATCGGCGCAAGAACAAGGAAGACAGACAAGTAAATCTGCAACAAGCAGAAGCATATACAACGATGAGAGGGAGATCAACAGAACGTGGCCAAAGCAACAGTCACAAACATGGTAGATCGAAGTCGAGGAGCAAGAAGAATTTAAAATGCTACAACTGTGGAAAGAAGGGTCACTTGAAGAAGGATTGTTGGAGTCTAAATAAAAACTCCAATTCACAAGGCAATACCGCAAACACTTCAGATGATGGAGATGCTCTATGCTGTGAAGCGTCAACCACTGTGGAAGGAAGAAAACGATTTGCAGATATATGGCTCATTGATTCGGGAGCAACATATCACATGACCTCAAGAAGAGAATGGTTCCATCATTATGAACATGTCTCAGGAGGATCTGTGTATAGTTGCAATGATCATGCCTTAGAGATCGTTGGCGTGGGAACCATCAAATTGAAGATGTACGATGGAACAATCAAAGTTGTTCGAGATGTGCGGCACGTGAAAGGCCTGAAGAAAAATTTATTATCCTACGGATTGTTGGATAATAATGCAAGCAAGATTGAAACACAGAAAGGAATCATGAAGGTGTTCCGTAGAGCACTTGTGGTGCTGAAAGGCGAAAAGATAGCTGCAAACTTGTACATGCTGAAGGGAGAGACTTTGCTAGAAGCAGAAGCCTCTGTTGCCTCATGTAGTTCAGATTCTTCAATGCTATGGCATCAGAAACTTGGACACATGTCAGAACAAGGAATGAAAGTTCTTGTGGAGCAAAAGCTACTTCCAGGCTTAACAAAGGTATCACTTACTTTGTGTGAGCATTGCCTAACAAGTAAGCAGCACCGGTTGAAATTCAACACGTCAAATTCTAGAGGCAAAATGTTCTAGAATTAGTTCATTCTGACGTATGACAAGCACCAGTTACATCCCTAGGTGGAGCAAAATACTTTGTCTCATTTATTGATGATTACTCTATGAGATGTTGGGTGTATCCTATTAAGAAGAAGTCAGATGTGTTTTCAACTTTCAAAATCTTCAAAGCGCGGGTGGAACTTGATTCTGGAAATAAGATCAAGTATTTCAGAACAAATAATGGAGGTGAATACACAAGTGAAGAATTTGATGACTTTTGCAAGAAAGAAGGCATCAAAAGACAGTTCACAGTGGCAAACACTCCTCAACAAAATGGAGTGGCAGAGCGGATGAACAGAACCTTGTTAGAAAGAACAAGAGCAATGTTGAGGGATGCAGGCCTAGAAAAATTATTCTGGGCAGAAGCAGTCAATACCGCCTGTTATTTGGTGAATCGAGCTCCATCAACTGCAATAGAGCTTAAGACACCAATGGAGATGTGGACTGGTAAACCAGCTGATTATTCAAACCTCCATATATTTGGAAGTATTGTGTACATGATGTACAACTCCCAAGAAATCTCAAAGCTGGATCCAAAATTCAAGAAATGCAAATTCTTGGGGTATGCTGATGGAGTCAAGGGGTATCGCTTGTGGGATCCCACTGCCCGCAAAGTGATCATCAGCAGGGATGTTATCTTTGTAGAGGATAAACTACAAAGAAAAGAAGACGATGATAGCACTGAAAAGTCAGAGACTATACAGATAAATGTGGAAAAGGAGTTTGAACAAGGAGATTCTTCTGAAGCAGAACCAGCACATGATGAACAAGAACCAGAGAGTTCTAAAGCACCAACAACTAATCAATCAGATCGTGTGAGAAGACGTCCCAATTGGCACTCAGATTATGTTATAGAAGGTAATATTGCATACTGCCTTTTAACAGAGGACGGTGAGCCATCAACATACCAGGAGGCAATAAAAAGCTCAGATGCTTCACTGTGGATGATGGCGATGCAAGAAGAAATCGAAGCCCTTCATAAAAATAATACATGGGACCTTGTGCCACTACCACAAGGAAGGAAGCCGATTGGTAACAAATGGGTCTTCAAAATCAAGCGAAATGGTGACGATCAAGTTGAGAGGTATCGTGCAAGACTGGTGGTCAAAGGATATGCTCAAAAAGAAGGTATTGATTTCAATAAAATATTTTCTCATGTGGTTCGACTAACAACAGTTCGAGTAGTTTTGGCAATGTGTGCTACATTGGACTTACATCTAGAGCAGCTAGATGTTAAAACAACTTTTCTTCATTGAAATCTTGAAGAAGAAATTTATATGCTCCAGCCTGAAGGTTTTGAAGAAAAAGAAAAGAAGAAATTGGTTTGCAGGTTGAACAAATCTATGTACGGTCTAAAGCAGACGCCGAGGTGTTGGTATAAGAGATTTGATTCCTTCATTATGTGCCTTAGATACAACAGACTTAACGCAGACCCTTGTGCTTATTTCAAGAGGTCTGGTGATAACGATTTTGTTATATTGTTGTTCTATGTAGATGACATGTTGGTTGCAGGACCCAACAAAGATCATATTGAAGAATTGAAGGCACAACTGGCTAGGGAATTTGAAATGAAGGACTTGGGATAAGCAAACAAGATTCTAGGGATGCAAATTCATCGAGACAGAAGTAATAGGAAGATTTGGCTTTCACAAAAGAATTACTTGAAAAAGATCTTGTCAAGATTCAACATGCAAGATTGTAAGCCAATTTCTACCCCTCTTCCTATTAACTTCAAATTATCCTCCAGTATGAGTCCTAGCAGGGAAGAAGAGAGGATGGAGATATCTCGAGTACCGTATGCATCAGCAGTGGGAAGTTTGATGTTCGCTATGATATGCACAAGCAGTGGGAGTGATTAGTCGCTACATGGAGAATCCAGGAAAAGAGCATTGGAATACAATAAAAAGGGTCTTGAGATACATCAAAGGGACCTCAAATGTTGCATTATGTTATGGAGGATCAAATTTACTAATCAATGGGTATGTAGATTCTGACTATGCAGGGGATTTGGATAAAAGCAAATCTACTACAGGGTATGTGTTCAAAGTTGTTGGTGGAGCTGTAAGATGGGTTTCAAAATTGTAGTCAGTTGTGGCTACATCCACAACAGAGGCAGAATATGTAGCAGCTACACAAGCCAGTAAAGAAGCAATTTGGTTGAAGATGCTATTGGAGGAGCTTGGGCACAATCAAGAGTATGTCTCTTTGTTTTGTGACAGTCAAAGCACCTTGCATTTAGCAAGGAATCCAGAATTTCATTCAAGGACAAAGCACATACGAGTTCAGTACCATTTCATTCGTGAAAAGGTGGAAAAAGGGACGGTAGATATGCAGAAGATCCATACCAAAGACAACATAGCAGATTTCATGACAAAGGCGATCAACACTGATAAATTTACTTGGTGTCGATCCTCTTGTGGTCTGTCAGAAATGTAAGCAACATGATGGTACAAGGTAGAAAGAATGGTGTGAAGATATG